CAAAGTCGACGTGGAGGATGAGGGCGTAAGCACAGGTGACTGATTGTTGTCCCGTGATGAGGGAGACGCGGTACCATCCTTACTATCCTTGTTCTTCTTAGAAGACTTGTTTGGATCTTTCCCACGCGAAAGCTGGATACATGTTAATACAGATGAGTAACCTCAAGAATGGAAAGACGTACAACTCTCTGACTGAAGCGCTTCATCTTGTCGGACAACAGTGTATCGTGCGGAGGGGCGGTTTAAGACGCCCGCTGCTCAACTGTATGAAGCAGTGGGGCACCGGGGCAACGACGTCAGGGGAAGGGAACGTCGAAGAGGTGACAGCAGATGCGCAAGCAACTGATTCAATGCACCGGGGCAACGACGTCAGGGGAAGGGAACGTCGAAGAGGTGACAGCAGATGCGCAAGCAACTGATTCAATGCACCGAAGCGTTGTAGGGATGAATGATATTGATAATCGTTATTAGCAGACGATTTTTAGGCGAGAGAAGAGGGGCCGGTCTGGCGAAAGCGTTGTGTTGCTGTCGGGAGCCGGACGAAGAACCGCGAGTGCGAGAGCTGGAGGAGTCGAAGCTGAGGAGGCTGAAACAGCACCTAATGAAGAAAGACTACTCGAGGGAGCGAAATACGACGATTACTCTCATGCAGGAAGAGGACGATAAAGCACTGAACCAGCCAGGGCTGAGAATGGTATTGGACGACGGTGGGTTATCGTGCGGTTCAATTGATTGCAGTGCAGTGCTGGTGCTGGTGCAGGCAGGCTGGTACTTGCGCAGGAGTGGAGGACGAATGCTGGAACTGGGATGGGGGTTCTGTGCGTGTTGTGTTGTGCTGTGCTGTACTCTGCTGATGCTGCTGTGCTGTCTTGTCTTAGGAGAAGAATTGAAAGTCGAGATGTGAGGTAGAAGGAGAGAGAAATCACAAAGACGCGGCGTGGTCGAGATTCTCACGGCGGCTGCTGAGTCGAGCCTCGTTGTCGTCGTTGAGTGATGGGAAACTTGTCGTAGGAGGTAGGTAGGTAAAGGTAGTGATCGTTGGGCGCCGGCGAAGAGACAGGTTCTTTGCGGGGGGGAGCTCCTGTTGAAGGAAACGCGCTTCGATTATTGGAGAGGGGAGGTCGGGTCGGGTTGTGATGTTAGTGGAATAGTGCATTGGCCAAAGAATCACTAACAAATCTCCCAGGTGTGCCTGGTTCTGGATATGCTAACTGGCTGAGCTCTTACTGGACTGACCCTTACTGGGATGGTACTGGGAACGGGCGGTGAAACCAACTAAATGAAGGGCGCTACAGAGGTGCATTAGGGGATGATGCCCCTCCCAGGTAGATGGACCCCGACGCTCAAAAGAGTTGGTACGAATGCAATTTCTAGGATCAATGCGGACAATCATTTAGAAGATATTGGATATCATGCGACTAGTGGTTCTCAAAGTTGCATGTCTGTCTAGATATTTCAATGATCCTTGATACGATCATCTCAAAATCCTTGACATGAAATAGATCTCGACAATCTTCAAGTTCTGGATCTGCCAAGATGTGGGCATCAAGGGAGTTTAGTTGAGTGCCACTACTGAGGTAATGGAAGGTTGAACCAGTCACGCGGCCGAAATTACACTGGGCTGTGCAAGGGCACTTTTACTCAACGCAATACTTCACCTCAATATGAAGCGACTTTTGAGTTTGTTCTAGAATAAAAGTGAGGAGTTCTACGCCCTGGATTGTTTATTTTCACCACTTTCCTGGTTTACTAGGCAGGCCAATAGTGATGAGCTGGCAGCATTACTGGCAATAGATTACCTACAAGGCTTGGAAAATAGTACAATCATACATGGAGTAATTGGAAGCTGTACCCTCAATATGAAGCTCGAAAGTAATTGAAACAATCGAAAATGTACTTATACTACATCATGCAATATGTTGCCGTTTTAAAGTATTTATACATCAAACCTCCTGTTGAGGTTTCAAGGTGGTATTAAGCACAGCCACAGGAACAACTGTTCATCTCTCTGTACATCGCACTGTCTAGATCACCCCAGAAGCGTGATAGCCTACAGTGTGCATGGTATTTAACACTATGAGGATTACAGCCACATCATCAATATGCCAAGTAAGAATCGCGTCAACATCATATCGTGGAATAACTGCTAACAATGGCAACACGTTTTTGCAACTATTGTTAATATCATTTCTAGGAGTCAGCACAAATACGATACTTAGGTAGCCGACCCTTCTTGTTGTTCATCATTCTGAGACCTGGCAATATCAATTCTCTGCCGCACAAGGTTAGTGTCGGTGTCTAATTGAACCCTGGTTTGTTTTTTTTCCACATATCTCAAACTCTTATACAACTGAACTTACACTTACAGAGATCCAGGCTCAAAATATCGTCTCACTCCACCACATGAATGATCCAAAATTATCAACAGTAGCCACAATGGAAGTGGACCTATCATCGGATGAAAATGGCTATGATAGCCTGGACGACACTCAGTTCGAGGATGAACATGGTGAAAGAGCATCTGAATCTGTTCATCCAGATTCAGCTCCTCGATATTTGATACCCGAGCGTGTTATCGGTGCTGTCGAATTTCCTGCCTTTGTAGAAAACCCCGATCGAGCTGTCAAGGCGTTCGGTCGCGTTCCCCATCTTCAACATGCAAGAAAAACTTACTCCAATCAATCACTCATCTTGCTAACAAGATCCTAGGTCTTGGATACGGGAAGGAATTCGATCCCACTATATCTGGTGCCGGAAGACCCGTTCTTCAAACCCATCATGTCACATAATGCTCGTAGTCATGATGTCGTTCTCAAGATCACAGTTCCGAAAAGAACGGGACGGAAAAGGAAAAGAGGAACCGATGGACCTTGGGAAGGAGATGTAGAAGTCTCCGATGCCCAGGATCAATTGCCTGCAAACGACAAAGTCTCATCTTATGCTCGACTAGACGATCCCAAGGTACTACGTCGAAAAATGGAAGACAATGTTGGCAATTATCACGTCGATGCAGTGGGCGTAATCCGCAGTACTCATCGCTTCCGCGGACTTCACGACTTTTACTGGGACATGTCCAAGTCCGACTTTGCACAGCGATACGTTGATCAAGTTCTTCCCGGAGATGGTATGTCTTCTTGTTCCTAGTTTCTAACAAAATGCTAATTCCATGCAGTCGACAAGATGAAGGAGTTCAAGTTTCAACCTGGCGTCGACAAAGGCCCTAATGTCGATATTATCCCACCACCCATGTTCACACACATGAGTCTCCCTTTCAACTATCAATACTCACAAAACCCGTATGTGCGTGCTACCGAGGATGGTGGCACAATAAACACCACCGCTGTTAAGCAGGTCGGCTATTTCATTGGTGCAGAGGACCCTGCGCCAACTGAGCCTCAACTTCACCCTGACATGACCGATCCACGTATGGTAGAAATAATAGCTGAGCTCGAAGATGCGTTTAGGGAACGGCCTATTTGGACACGACGGTCACTACTCAATTACCTTGGGGGCAAGCTTAAGAACTGGAATGAACTCAAGAAATACCTGAACTACGCTGCTTACCAGTTCAAAGGAGGTCCCTGGAGAGATGGAGTGGTTCAATATGGCATTGATCCACGAACGGATCCTAAATATCGAATCTACCAGACCCTCATGTTCAAGCTTCCAAAGCAGAAGCGTGCCCAGCGGGGTCAAACGTGGAAATCACTACGCAAGGTCCAAATGGGGCCCCTGAAAGAATTCCTGGAAGAGCTTTCCGAGAGCCACGTCTTTGATGGCGACACTTTCCATACTGACGGAAAAGTATGGCAAGTCTGCGATATCACCGATCCTCTTCTCAAGGAGCTCTTCGAGAATGCCGCTATACGCCCTGAATGGGATCCCAGCAGTGGATGGTACCATGGCGGACTCTGGGCCAAAGTCAAGGCGATCACGAAGACGAAACTCGTGGCAATCCAATTCGACCGACATCTCACCAGAGAAGACTTTGCAATGACGCTGGAGACAGGTGATCAGACACCAGTCCGGTCAAACCAAGCAACATTCCACCTGCCACTTCCAAATCTACGACTTACAGATGAGGAGTTGACGCAGCTCCGGGGACGACAACCAACTAAAAAGAATAAGCACAAAGGTTACAGTGTACGAGTCAGAGATCCCAATGCAGGCCCCAAGAAGGCACCAGCTGAGGAGACAGCCGCTGTCGCTGCAGATTTGCAAGAGGAAGAGGCCCGTTTGCTGGAGGAAATGGGATCTGGAAACGAGGATTCTGACGAGGCTGACGAAGATGAGTCCGGTGACGATGACGATGGAGAGGGAGATATACCAGAAGGACTGGATTATGATATCGATCCGGAGATGTATGGATGACTTTTCATCATTACAACTGCTGCCACGTTCGATTAACACATATTGGCCGGTACTGTGTTTGTGTTTTTCAAGCGCATACGCTCTATCTAGGTAGCTGTTTGCAACAAACTCGCAGACATATGTTGCCTTGGTCAATGCCGATGTCAATAAATGACGCTTAACTGTTTTGTCATTCAAAGAGGCATGATTCCAAGTACGTTTTGTCTAGACAAACTACTTTACTTTGCGGTGAATGTTTGTTCGCCTCCCAAGCCTTTCCTCGCTGCCTAGATTCCTCAAGCAGCTCATTGACAATCTTATCACAATCCGCCCATTTGTTGAGGGGTCGACGATGATTCATTGCTCGTGCGCCTCATTCCCCTCTTGTGTGCTTGTTTGTTACCTGATAATTTTCTATCTCTTCACCGATAAATTCGTTCGCTTTCTTCCATCTTCTGTCACTACCTGCCACCGACAAGCACTTACCAACCATCGCCGTCCCTCATCAAATAACAAGCACTTACCCATTATCCCGTAACTGCATTTTCCCGTGCGGTCCCTGCACACGGAAACCTTTCCTCTTCCTTTGCGCCTCCTCGCAGTGACCAACAATTTTGTACCACAAAAATACCCCCGTCCAACTACGTAAGATGCCGTCAGGGACGCGTTTCGAAGGAGATTTCTGGTGTGAGCCATGCAACAAGATCTTCAAGACTTGGGAAGACCTACACACTCACAAGCGCATCATGCGAGTCAACAGCAAAAAGCACATCCACTGCAAGTTCTGCGGTGCAGATTTCCAAACTCAAGAAGTGGAGGCTACGCACATCAAGCAGGTTCGTTTCCACGTCTTTGCATCTCTTGAGCACTGCGCTGATTTCCATCTAGTTTCGTCCCCAGGAGCAGAACCTTCACTGTTCAGGGTGTGGAAAGGGCCCCTTCGCTCGAGTTGGTGGCCTTGTAGCCCATGTTCAGAAGGACTGCCCATGCCTCAACAACAAGATGATTGAGAGTACCCGCGAGAAAAAGATGGAGTTCTCAAACGCTCTTGTGGCAGCCACCAAAGAACCTCTCAAGAGCAACTATGCAGACTACATGCCATCTGCAAGGCCCCAGGTACCTTCAACCACTAGCTGGGTTACTGAGAATTCTGCTCGTCCTTTTGCGGCCGAGCAGAAGGAGTTTCCAACTCTTGCCGCCTCCAGCTCTGTTGCTCAGCTTCGCAACAAGGAGAACATCAAACAGAACGACTGGAACAAAGGGAAGAATCTGTTCCCACAGGCTCCTGCACCACAGCGACCTACCCAACAGCAACTTCAACAGGTCGCTACGCCCAACGCTCGGGCGGCTTACGATCTCTTGAGCGCCCACAATCCCGACCATCCCGACTTCAACGTCGCTCGGTACAGCTGCCAGTTTACCGGCAAGTTCAACTGTCCCATGGCAACTTGCATGAAAACCTTCAAGTCGGGCCAAGCACTTCTGGGCCATCTTCGATCTGAGGCACACTCAAAGACCAAGTACCGCTGCCCCTACTGTCTCAACACTTTTGGCTCCCTGACCTCCATCACTCAGCATGCCGAGTCCAATGGTAACAAGTGCAAGATTCGTGAGACTGACATCTACCGTGCCTACATGGATCAGCTGCTGGGTGGCATGGTTGATGTCAAGAACGAGCAACACGACGATGGTACCGTCAAATATGAGGTGGCCAAGGACTTCAAGCCCCGACAGGAGCCAGTTCAGGAAGAACCCAAAGTCAACCCCAAGTCTTTCGGAAGAGATCCGTACAAGCATGAAGATATTCACTGGTAGATGTTGTTGCATTAGTGCATGGAAAATTTGATGTTGCCCAGCTTCAAAGCGGCCATGAAATGTAATAGCACAGACAGCTGAGCGACAGGCTCGGGACAGGTAGCTAAGTGACTGATACAATTGACACCACGATTAGTCCTTCTTCCGTGCAAATCTGAACTGAACAACTCAATTGTGGTAAATATCGGTAAAGTTTAATGCAAGTCTGCCGTGATGCAATCCTCTTGGATGTAGTAACCAGGGATGCTTTGTCGTACCTATGCACAGCAGCCAGGGGTGATGAAACTCAGCCATTGAAATGGCAAATGACAAGGAAAAATAATAATGAACTGCCTAATTCAAATTTGGAAGATGGAAGTGAGCAATATATCGTCTTACACTACTGGCTCTTTCATAACATCTTTGTATCAGTGCTTCTTATAGCGGATGCTGAACGGGTATACGCGTTGCAGAGGCGGAGCGGGGCCACTACGTTGGATGTGGAACCAATCGCCCCTGATGACCTAAGCTCTACTTTAATCCATTGACAGCAGTTTATAATTTGCCAGCTTATTACTTTTATTCTTCGACATAACCGATTAATGATTTTGTGTATTTCGTACTCGATTTAATTGCGGTATATAGAAACGACACGATACGAACCGTGCCCCGTCGATTCATCCACCTGGCCTCGGCATCCGATCCGCTATCGACGACGGCTTCACCCGGAAATCGACTAAACGATAGATACCCCTGTGTTCGCTACGGTCCAAGAACGATATGACAAGGCGTTTCGAATAGAAATTTGAACAATTATCGAACGAGAGATCAGCGCAGAAATAGCTGGATTGGTTCCAATACTACAGAAATCACAACACAAGCGAGCGCAATGGCGTCGGCTCGTAGGTGGGCGCGCAAAGCCGAGCGGTGCTGTTGTACATTTGCGACGTACTTTCCTTTGGCCTTTGTATACAGCTTGACATCATGGGCTGTGTGGGTGGTTGTCAATATCGGTAGCGTTAGCACGAAGAGCGCTTGGATAGGTATGTTCGGATCACCAAGTTAACCCTAAGAGTTCTGTCTAACAGCTTCACAGGTACCGGCTCTTCCATAATAGGCGTCGCACTCTATCTCATGCTCAACTGGTGCTACACCACCGCTGTCTTTACACCTCCAGGCTCGACGACAAATGACATGGGCTATGGCCTTTTACCGACACAAAATACACCCCAAGGCACTTCTTTTACAGTCAAGAGTAACGGCGAGTTTCGATTCTGCAAAAAGTGCCAGGCTCGCAAACCCGATCGTGCTCACCACTGTTCGACATGTCGACGATGCGTCCTCAAGATGGACCACCATTGTCCTTGGTTAGCGACATGTATCGGGCTGCGCAACCACAAGTCCTTCCTCCTCTTCTTGATCTACACATCTCTTTTCTGCTTCTGGTCATTCGCCGTGAGTGCATGCTGGGTCTGGTATGAGGCGCTGAACGATCAGGAATACATCGACACTTTCCTGCCCGTCAACTTCATCATGCTGAGTGTCATCAGCGGAATTATTGGACTTGTGGTTGGCGCTTTTACATCATGGCATATTCACTTGGCTCGATGTGGACAAACTACGATCGAGTGTCTCGAAAAGACACGATACCTTTCGCCGCTGCGCAAGACGTACAACTCTGCCCACAACCCCGCCAATGAAGTACCAGAGGCTGCTCGTCAATTTGTCGACTTTCACGCGAATGTTCTACCCGGTATCACACGTCCCGAGGAAGGCGAGGAGCGACGAGAGATGCCCCGATCATATCCCCCTGATGGTTCCCATCCTGTTCAACTTTCATACGCCCAGCGCGAGCGGGAACAGCGACAAAGACGATACGAGGAGTACCTGGACGAGCAAGACTCCGAAAAGCTTCCCAACGTCTTCGATCTTGGCTGGAAACGCAACTTACTGCACCTCTTTGGCCCCACCCCCGCACTATGGTTCTTCCCTGTCTCCAACACTACAGGAGATGGTTGGACATGGGAAGCAAGCAGCAACTGGCTGGAGGCTCGCGATCGACTCTCAGCTGAGCGAGAACAACAGCGAGCTCGTGAGGTGAATGCTGGCTGGGGTTCACCGAATGATATACCTGATATCCCCGAGCGACCTTCAGGCGCAGGAAAACATTACTCCCCTACCCCAAAACTTGCAGGTCCCAAGACTATGAGCAAAGCTGATCGAGTTCTTGGCCGTGATCCCAACCTATACGCCGATGCAACACAAGATGTACCCATGCAGCGTCTCAGCCCTCGTGGTCGAACAGTGGATGATGAGCTAGCAGACCTGGAAAGCGACGATGAAGACGGTTTCCTCGACGCCAATAACCCTGATAAAACAGAAGGTGGAAAGCTCAGCCCAAGCTTCACGTCTGACTCCCAACGTCGAGACGATGCCGAAGCGCGCGCTCTAGAGGTCGTTACCAACGGAAACTGGGGTCGCGGCGGTGCGAGCGGTATGCTCCGTAAGGGAAGCTCACAGAGCAGCCCCAGCAGAACTCCCAGCAATATCAGCCGCTCAGGGACACCCAAGTTCCAGGACGAAGGCGTTGACTAGAAAGTTGTAGGGGTTTGTGTTTTGCAAAGCGAATGAGAAATGAGCGAGGTTCCTCGATGTCTAATGTTTCTTGTCATGAGATGTGGAGTTTCTTTGTGCCGGGTATTCTATTTTCTTCTCTGGTTTGATATTTTTACCCTCTTATTCTTGGTACAATTTATGTTATATAACTCCAAAATTACTGGGATCTTACTTGGCCGATCATGTGTAGGAATCTGACATATCCAGTGCTAGTTATGTCCCTCAATCGTATGTATTCAAGGGTGTATATAACGCGCTCGCCAAGCGTGACTCGTGTGATCTGTGACAACTGCCGACTGGAGATCGTCCACGTTTACACGATCTACAACACCGACATCACCAACCCCTCGACAATCGCTTACCGGTCAATGTTGCACTGTCGGAGGGTTTTCACCGCCAATCTCAGCTCTATAGCCAGTCATTATGACAACCCTAGGGTATGTTTCAACGCCTGGCACGCCAGACTTCCTTGCTTTCAGAACGCTGGGTTTACTCCCTCGTGGTCTAGATTCTCGGCGTGTGCCCGTAGCAGAATACCGGGCCAACTTGCAGCGGGAAACTTGTCGTCATTGGGCCAAGTAAGACTGTCCACTTGTGGAATCTTCTTGGCCTGCTTAACCACGGCGTCACCCAGAGCCTTCTCGGGGTCAAACCTCGGCAGGAACCCCTCTATCTCTTTGCAGTACTCGTCAATTCCAATGCTTCTTCTATACTCTTCGGACCCAAAGTCAGATCGGACAGCCAGTCGAATCAAACGAGACAGTGGATCGATACGCTCTGCTATCCCGGGGGATGTATGCACTGCAATGGCCGTCCAGACTTGATGCGCCTCGGTCTCCGAGTAGCCATGTTTGATGAGATGGTCTTTCGCGCAATCAGCGGAGCATATCTCGAAGCGCTGCGTGCCGTTGTAAAGGTGACTCGCTCCAGCATCGTGGAGAATAGCCGCTACGAAGAGGAGCCCAATCTGCCCCTCAGAGACAAAGGGAGAATCCTCCTTCTTGGCAACAAATCGAGCCAGCAGATACACCCGCAGAGAGTGGTTCAGTATGGGGACAGGCAGTGCTTCCCTAGCGAGATCAAGGGCTCTCTGACAGGCAAGGTTGTTAGGGACCTTGTCAAGGATCAGGGCGCTTATGTCGGATGACATAGTGTTTTTCGTTAAGAAGTCGTCGTTTCGAAATGGTTTAAACGACACGGTGATATCTCATGCTGGGAACTTCGGGACTATCACAGTGGGGCAGAATACTACATGGCCTAACCGCTGACAAAGCCCAGAATCAACAACAACATGTTTGATTACGGTCATTATCCCGATTCAGATATCAGGATGGCCTCATTCCAAATGAAAAATCCCCCCCTTGTATGGCACCAACCATCTCTTACAACGCCGCACACCCCCCCAAAACGACGATCTTGTGGATCAGCGCTGGGAAGGGGGGGACCCTGCGGGGAAGACAAGATGAACCTGGAATGAAGAATGTCAACGTTGCTAATAGTGCTATAGTGGTGAAGATGAGATAAACCTAGCGTCGTCATAGGGGACAGTGGCAGTTTTAGTTGTGGAGGTTAGTCTGTTAATCCTGAGTCGTAAAACAGGGGTTCCAGACGAAGCTATACAGACGAACTAAACAGGCATACGATTCGCGTGACGAGAGATGTTCGTCATAATTTGAGGAATAGTTCATTTCTTAGTACCCCTCTATTACCCCTTATCTTTAAATGCCTTGAAGATCAAGGCTCGTTCGTTGTCCATCTCCAAATTTGCGGGGTGACAGGTATGTGTACCGTATATCATGATTTCCCTACGCCGATCTCGTTGTGACATTCAAGAGGCCTCAAGCCCACATTCTGCCGGTCAGTAAAATTTGGCCTGAGATGTCATCTCTGGTGAAACTTGAGACGATATGAGGTGTACAGTACATTTCAACAAGAGTCACAGAGAATGAGAAGTTGTGGGTCAATAATAAAATGCTTTCAGCAGAATAGAGACGTTTCCCAAGTGTTTGGTTTCCCCTGCCTTGTGCCGATCTATAATACGTAAATCCGGTTTCCCAGTGCAATGCTAGTTTCCTGACGCTCCCAAATCACGGCCAAGCGTGGTGTATGCAGACTCCTTTTTTTCATTCCCGTTCCTGTCCCTGTCCATTGAAGCGGCTTCCGTGCCACAGTAATAATATAAACATAGAATCCCGATAATGACCAACACCATCCACGCTAAAGGGGGTATTTGTCCTTCTTTAAGTGTTTTTGTTTTCATACGCCATGTTTCAACAAAGGAAATCGTTGTGTACCAAATGGTACTTTGAAGGGTTATTCCAACGCTTCAACCCGTTCTTGATGTAAAAAGAAAAGAAAGTAAGACAAAGGGCGCTGGTTCCCGTCATCATCAAGTCACAGATCCCTTCAGGTCCATCGCGTATATCGCGCCAGGATCCTCCTGGGATCATGGAAACAAAGATGTGTGATCAAGTCAGAAGATGACTGCAGAAGTCCAGTGCCGTAGATCCTTGTCGATAGAGACCTGTGTGGTGCCCAGATCCAGCTTCGTCGAGCTCAGTATCGATAGAATCGAGAAATGAAATGGTAAAATTATATCCAAGAAAGTTGAAAAGGTATTCGTACAGATGAGATAAATATTACTCAGTCAGAAATCAATAGCTGTCAAAGCTCGTCTTCTCCGAGCTAGACTTTTCGATGGTACTTTTGGGGCTGGTGTTGATGCGGCTAAAAACCTTGCCGCCAAGCCTGTTGAGCTTGTTTCCGTCCTGGATACGGCGAGGAGCTTCCATGAACTTTTTCTCGACTGAGTCAATGTTGATCTTGCAAAAGAGCTTTGAGAAAAGGTACTGGTCGCCAGCATGGTTAAGAAGAGGCAGGGTGCGGTAGCCCTGCTTGAGGTTGGTGAGTTTAGCGGTGTATGTGGCGACGGCTGGGCGCTCGTTATAGCTCTCGCCATCATTGGAGAGCTTGACAGACCACCGAACAAAGATCAGGTCGGGGTGCTTGGTGGTAACCGTGTATTTGATGTGCTTGTCAAACATGGGGTTGAAGCCGTTTTCGCGGATGACTTCGGTCTGGAACTTCAGAGGCGTGTCATGCTCCAAGACCAGGTTAGAATCTGCTTCCTTCTTGTCGCGCTTGTCATTGGCATGAAAGACCTCAACCTCCACGTAGGGGTCCATGGACCGGTTCGCGGGGAGGTTAGCAGGTCGCATAAGTTGCTGGGCAGAGATGACGTCAATGCTGAAAGAGACAACGGTACGCTCTTTCTTGCCCTCGGCAATATCGGAGTTGTAGGGGAGTACCTGGATGTCTCGGAGTTCGGCTGGCTTAAGAACGTAGCCAGACGAATCCTTGCCGTCGAACATAGCACGGTTGAGCTGCATTCCAAGGTCGAAAGTCTGCCAGTTAAGGGCGGCCATCTGAACACCGCGGCGCCAGTAGTTGAGAGGATCAAAGTTATTAGAAGTGATGCGAGTTCGGTCGGGGTAAACTCGCATCATGTAGCGCATGTTGTGGATATCAAGAGCCATCTTCTGCTCCTTAGCGCGAGAGTGCTTGGCAAAGCTCGACTCCATGAAAGAGAAGATGTGGTTGTACTGCTTAGCATCGACAGTGTCGAAGCCAGAGAACTTGACTCCGGCACAGTAAACGCCGAGGTCACCAAGAACCTTGACGGTCTTGTTGTGGGCCTTCTTGACAGGCTGCTGCTCACAAACACTCTCGTTGTCGCTCGTGCTGCTGCTCAGCATGCCCTGAACTTGGCCCTCGGTAATGGTGTTGACTCGAGTCTTGCTGACCAATCTTCGTGATGAATGGCTGGGGGTAAGCATGGGGCTCTGGGGGAGGGACTGAGAAGGCATCAAAGGAGTGCTGTCGGGAACAGAAGGTCGCATCATGGGCGAGTTGAGGCTGTTACCTCGGCGTCGACCACGGAAGTCATTGCCAGCAGCAACAGATTCCTCCTTGATCTGGGGCTTCTTGACCTTGATAAGAACGCGCTCCATAAGCTCAGAGGGGGTAGGAAGCTTGTCAGGGAAAGCCTCCAAGGTTTCCGTGACCAGCCTTGAACCAAAAGACTCCTTAATAATCTCGACCATTGTCGCCTGTTGGGCTGGGCTACAGTGAACCTCCAGGGAAATCCAGAGAGGGAACTTGGACTTGACAAAAGCGTACTTGTTGATGGTGGTCATGACCTCCTTAAAGCTGATCGAGGTCGTCATCGTGCGGCCGTGGTTAACTTCAGGCTGGCCATTGTAGCCATCCCAGCAATCAACCTCGACACATCGGCAGCCACGAACAAGCGCTGAGATGTAACCTTCAACGCTCGACTGACCAGCGACTTGGCGACCGAGAAGGTAGGTGTTGTGAGAGCTAGAGATGTAGTACTCGTTCATTGGACGGTCCAAAACGATGTTTTGGGGTTCAGGCTGGATGACCTCGTTGTCTTCTGAAGCCAAGAAACCAACGAAGGCGTCTTCACTCATCATCTCAATATTTTCGGGAAGGTCGACCTCGGTACTTCGGTATTGGCGATAAAATCGAGAAAAGACTTTCTCCCAGGCAGTGCGCTTAGAATCGACATCCTCACCCTGAACATCACGCAGAAAAGTAAGGAACTCAGACAGAGTAAGACCAAACTCAGGATTCGCGGCAATACTTCGAATGATTCGCTGTACGTCGTTGCGTTGCTTCATGCGGCGTACAAAGTCCTTGAATTCCTTAAAATTGAGCTTTTGTCGTCGTCGAGAATCGGATAAGTGGAAGTTCACTTCGAGAGTTGCTGATGAGCTGTAGATGTGAAGGTTTTGGCAAACACGCTTTACACCAGCGATGTTCATCTCCTCCTCGTCGGGACTTCTGGGCTGGTCGCCAAACTCCTTGGCCATCTCGGTGTGCCAGTACTGAGCGACAGCACGGTCGTTGAATGTCATCAGCGATGTCATGAGTTGTTGTCGATACCTCAACATAGCGTC